GATCCTTGTGAATATCCCCTCCTGTCCCCCAGCACACATTTCAAATATCCCCTCCTGTCCTCCAGCACCCATCCCAAACTTCCTCCCCTTCTCTCCCAGCACCGGTGCCAGGGCATCTCAGGACAATCCAACATGGGCAGCTGAAGCCCCCCTGGCCCAGCCCCTCCTCCCTGGCTGCACCCCCGTGCCGGGGGCTCAGGGCTGTCCCTGCCCTCCCGTTTCCCCCCCTCTCCTGGGGCTGCTGGAGCCCATCAAGCCCCGGTGCCACCACACGGGTGAGGGTCCCAGAGCAGCCCAAACGGCAGCAGCGGATGTTCAGCAAAGCTGCTTATTCCACACAATTTCCCTAACGTGGAATCATGGCTAGGCTCCACGAGGAAGGAATCACTGTGGTTGGAAAAGCCCTCCCAGCCTACGGAGTCCCCCCTGTGCCCCATCCCCACCCTCTCCCCCAGCCCAGAGCACTCAGTGCCACGGCCAGGCCTTCCTTGGACACCTCCAGGGTGGGGACTCCAAACCTCCCTGGGCAGCCCCTGCCAGTGCCTGACCACCCTTTCCAGGGAGAAATTCCTGATGCTCAACCTAACCCGACGCAGAAAGGTCCCTCAGCCAGTCCCTCCCTGAGGGGAGAGCTCCTCCAGGCCTGCACACCCCGGCGGGGCCGGTGCCCGCTGCCTGGGACAGGCCGTTCCCACAGCTAGGGCGGCTCCTGACCCGGCCCGGGACAAGGCTCGGCCCAGACAAAGCTAGGCCCGGGACAAGGCCCGGCCTGGACACGGCTCGGCTCGGACACGGCCCGGACACGGTCCTGCCAGGGCAGCACGGCCACCGCCTCACGGGGCGCGGGCGGGGCCGGTGGGCGGGGTCAAGAACGGAGCTGATTGGGCGTGGAGGGGTGGGGGCGTGGCCAAGGGTAGGAGAGAGGGCAGGGGCGGTGCTGATTGGGCACAGAGGGGCGGGGGGCGGGGCCGAGGGGAGGAGAGAGGGGAGGGGCGGTGCTGATTGGGCGGGGCGTGGTCGAGGGGCGGGGCGTGGTCAAGGGGCGGGGCCGGGGCGGGCCGGGCGGAGCGTGCGCAGTGCGGAGCGGTGAGTGGGGGGGTCGGGGCGGGAGGTCCCGCCGGGGTCCTGAGGGGCCGCGCCCCTGCCCCGGGACAGCCCCCGGGAACAGCCCCCGGGCACGGCCTCTGTGGGCACGGGCCGCTGCCTCCCCTGCGCTGCCGCTGCCCTCGTTCGAGCGGAGCCGGCGGTGAGGCCTTGACGGGGCCGGGGCTGCCCCGCTTCGCCTCCGAGCGGACGTGCGCGGGCCGTGAGGGACGGCAGTATCCGGCCCCGGGGGCTCGGGCAGGGCAGGCAGCCGCTGGGGCTGCACTGGGGGCCCTGTGGTGACACTTACCCACGCTCTGGGGCAGGACAGGGATCCCTTACACTGAGGCGTTTCAAACATAAGTATGTAAGCATAAGTTCCCCCAAACAGGCGCAGTTTGGGTCCTGCCTGGACCTCCCAGGCAGCTGTGGAATAGAAACGTGCTGGTACCGCTGGAGCAGCTCCAGGACATTAAAATGGATTTTTCTTCAGGGCCTGAATTTTAAAACTGTTTAATTATTTTGGTACAAGCCTGCATATGGCTCTCTGGCTGGAGAACTCGCAAAATTACACGTTGCACGAGGCCGGGGAGCGAATGCTGAGCAAATGGGATTTTGTGTATAAACACTGTTTGGAATGCTGCCTGAAAATGTTTAACTTCAGTAGTTGACTAACACTTGGGCGAGGAGTGATCTTTGACAGAGCACTGGCGCTGCCGCCTCTCAGCATGGCTGGGTTTACACTAACAAGTTTTGTAGATACAATTTCTTACGGGCAAGTTATTTATTCTGCGATGTTTGGCTGCTAGAACTGAGCCAGTCCCAGTGCGGGGCGGAGGCAGAGCTGCCTGCACCAGCGCTGTTGGGTTTGCCTGCCAAAGGAGGGTAACGTGCAGAGGCATTGCCGTGGTGGAGTGTCTGTGGAAGAGCCTGCTCCGAGCACAGCCCTGGCAGGAACCTTTTAAGTGCAGATAAGTCTCTGGAGGACGTTAGAAGATGATGACACACCCTGTCATTTACCGAACGTGCTGCCGCAGTGTCCCTGCTCCGTGTGAGCCTTTAAATTCATTTGTGCTCTGGGAGCAGCATTGTTAAGGGATGGACTTGTATTTTTCTGTCTTTTCTTTCCCTCAACCCTGCCTTGAAATGACCAGCCTGGACCATGTTGTTTTTCAGCAGCCTCCAGGGCATTTACAGAAACGGTGGAAGTACCCAAAATATTATCCCAGAAACTTTAGTGTAGGAGTGCAGCTAATGCAGCTGACAGTAGTGCTGGAATCCCTGGCTGTGTGACCACGTATTTACTAGTTTTGAAGGGATACAGATATGATCCTTTTAAAGAAATCAGCTGGAAACAATTCCTCATGAGTTGTCAGAACAGCCCTTGAACCTGCAGTGCTGTCCTCATGCCCAAAAGCAGCACAAGAGCAGTGCTGGTGCTACCACCACCTCTGTTCTTACTGTTGAGAATTTCTTTAGCCTGAGCAATAAAACACCTGTAAAACTTTCCAGCACCCCCAGAGCTCTCTCTGTGTGCTCCTACTTGGGCTGGGTAGGTGAAAGCACATCAGCCATACCTTGAGAATTTGCAAGGCAGTGAATTATTGGGATAAATTTAGGGATAACAGTCAGCCTTTCTGTCTGCTAATCCTCTCTGCTACTGACTCCCTCCGTGGCTTTTATAACCCCCCTCAGCTCTCCCCACTTGTTCCCCTCTGAGAAAGAACATTTAACTCACGCTCGTGAGGGAGGTGAATCAGCTCTAATTAAGATTTGTTCAGTGCTTTGTTGATAAGTTCTCTGTAAAGCCAGTTGCTATTTTTTTATTAACACCCAGATATTCTTAGCACCTGAAGTGAGAAATGAGACAACACTGGGGATCTCTGGGAAGCAGCTCTGCCAAGGGAGACAGTGCCTGCTAACCAGGGCTTTGTCAAATCCATTCTGGCTGCGGTTTACAAGGCAGCTCAGAAAAACCCCAAATCCCCTCGAGTCATTGGGAAATCTTAAATGTTCCTGGAAGTTAAGCCCTGCTTTTGCATGGGATTTGTAGCTCTTACCCCCTTGCTGGATTTCTCCCAAGCTGTTGGTGTGCTGATGGCATCAGTTGCTCTCACCTGCTTTGGAACACCTTGTTGCAATTACTTCAATGCTTTCAGCAATGAGCCCCTCAAATTATCCTGTCTGGGGTAGGGAGGGCTGGGACCAGCCAGTCCCAGAGGTTGGTGGGGCTGTGTGGAGTGAGAGGGGAGGAGGGAAGCTGGGAAGCCCTTCCCCAGGGGTGCATCCCATCCCCCTGCATGGGAAATGAAGCTGAAGAGCTTCGTTTGTGAAAGATAATGAAGGTGTGAATGGAAATGGTTACGGTGCTCGGTGCCTGTAGCGTGTGGGTGCCCCTGCAGTGGGATGAGGAGCTCTGTTGTATTTTGGGGATGAAGAGGCTGTTCATTTGGCTCTGTCACTGCTGTAGGAGTGGCCAGATGGAGGATGCTAAAATGAAATGCAGGGCTGGAGCAGCCTCCTTGTCCATGTGTCCTGAGCCAGGTGAGAGATACTTGGCTCCAGGCTGGGCAGTGGTGGATGGTAGTGCAGATCTGGGCAGGGGCCAGTTCCCTCTGGGCCCTGATGGAATCCCAGTCTCAGAGACCCTGACTGCTTGTCTAACTCTCCCTTGCAGCGAACTGAGCAGCCAGTTCAGCTCTTGCTGTCACAGAGTGGGGAGCCCAGTGGATGGTTGTCCTTCTTGTAAACCCCGTTAAAGTCTGAGAGCTGGTACCAGCCCTGGAGGGAGCGGGATGGAGAAACCCCTCTGCAGGTGGTATGGGGTGCTGTGTTTTACACTGCTGTGTGCTCCACTAGTTGCCCAGATTCTCTGGTCTGTCTGTGACTTAGAGGTGATACCTGGCATGGAGCCCAGAATTGGGAATTTTATGTTCCCAGACCACGGAGATGTTTAGCTCCTCACAGCTGGAGCTGTGGAGTCACAGCACTGGCACATTTAGTCCCTGATTTTCCTCAGCATTCCCCCCACCTGGAGAACTTTCCCCTGGCCTCTGTTTGTGCTCGATCTCTGTTTGTGCTGTTTCCAAGTGCAGTTCTTTGCATTGTTTTCCTGGCTTTTCTTTCTATTGATTTGTGGGTGTTTTGGGAACTTTCCTTCAGTTTATCAATTCCGATCGTGACCTCCAGAGAGCTTCCAGCTCTTAACTGCTGGGCATCCTTTCAGGTTTTAGAAAAGTGCTTTCTCTGGTGTTCAGGCGTTAATGAAAAGGATGAACAGAAGCAGACCTGGGCTGAGCTCTGAGAGCCCAGACACGAGGATTTCTCCTGTGGTGACATGGAATTGCTGGTAGCTACCCCTAAAGTGTGTGGGGTTGAGTTGCTTTGGTTGGTCTCTTTTTTCTTAGTTAGTAATGAGCACTGGGCTTCATTAAGGCGAGTTCACCTAGACTTAGTCCCAGCTCCTCTGGTTTTTGAAAGCATTGGATGGATAGAGTGAAAAGCCTGCTTTGTGCTGATCAGAGGTGTGATGGGCAGGTCTCTGTACAGGGGGATTTGTGCTCTGTTTCTGAAAGCTCAGATGGTTTTCAAGAGCTTTCAAGAACTTCATTTACCTGGGGCTTCTTGCTGGTGCTCGCTGGGACTGAGATGGCTCTGAGGCAATCCCAGAACTCCCTGAGCAGCAGGATATGTGTGGGAGGAATTTGTGTCCAGCAAGTCCCACTCCCCTTTGTTTGTCCACAGGTCTCTCCTCAGTGAGAGTCGGGCTTGTCTATGTGTGACTAAGGTAGTAAAAATACATTTTTCTCCTCAAGCAATTCCCAGTTCCTTGTGTGGTTGCTCTGCTCTGGAAGAATTAAAAATTACTTGCTCTGGAGAAATTAATGACACTCATTTTTATCCCTGACTAGTGTCACTGTGGGAGAGGTTGCAGGATACCTCATTCCACCAGGGCTCTGCCTCAGTGCCAATTTTGCTTAAGGAGGAGGAATTCCTTGAGCTGAAATAGATTTCACTGAAGAGAATGTTACTGCCCAGACAGGGCCAGCTCTACCCACCCTGAGTTCTGTAAGGACTGAGCTACTGGGTTCAGCTGTTGGAATTTTAAGAGGTTGGTCCTTTTCTGAAGTACTCTTCCACCCTCTATTCCATCTTTCTTTGCACATTGGTGTCACTGTGGGGTGAAATTTGGGCCCCACTGAATTGAAGGACAATGCAGGGTTCCTCTGTGGGGTTCATCTCTCCCTCCTCTCCAGGCTGGTAACTTGAGGTACCTGTCCACAGCTGTTCCCTCCAGCTGTACCTCAGGGACACCATCACTGGGGTGGAGATGCTGTGCCCTGTTTGTTCTCCTGTATTGGTCCATGCCTGATGGTTGAGTCATGGAATGTCCTGAGTTGGGAGGGACCTGCAGGCACCACCTCGGTGGGTGCCCTGACCAAATTTCAGTTCCAGGGGAGAAAATTCCGGCCTCCCTAAAGTGCTCCTGTGGTTTTTGTTGAATTCTTCCTTACTTGTCTCTCGGGGGCTGTGTGCTGTAGTTAAATATGGGTAGAAAGGTTGTGTTCCACTCTGGATTACAGCAGAATCTCACTGATGGATAAATTGCATCCCAAGCCCAGTTTGCAAAGCCCTTTGGGCTTCGTGGGCTGCAAGAAGCTGTATTTTATTCTAGATGTGTGCTTGCTGATAATTCTATAGGATTTGCAGTCAGCAGGTTGTAAGAGCCCTGATTATACCGGTTCCCTGTGCAGTTAGACTCTGCCCAAATAATTCAAGTGCCTGCTGCAGAGAGACAAAAAGGAAAATGGGAGGATGATCCAGAAACCTCTGGATCACTGGAGCAGGTGGGAAGAAGATACATATGTTGATCTGAAGAAAATACCAAGCCAGGTATATGCCTTTAAGCATCTGAAGAAAACTCAGGATTTTCTTAATGGCTGCCTACTTTAAACGCAAATAATTCCTTTAACAAGGGGTTTTAAGGGTTTAACTTAATTTTAGAATTTTTATTTCAGGCGTATGTCCATAAAATTAACTTCTTTATCGCAGAATGCTGTAATGTCTTCCATGTTGCTGCTCATTTGCAAGAAATCTCTGCACAGTTATTTCTTATGTACCAGTTAAATCTATGAGCCAACAGATGTCAAGTGTAGCAAAAATGCTATAATAATATTATGGTCTAATAATAGTTATAATGATTCTAATTACCTGGTGCAGCTTCTGAGAGAGGCAGTTTCAGAAGTCAGTGCAAAGGAGGTGTTTAACCTTGAACTGCAGGAGCAGGGCATTCCAGAGGTGCCTAGGCTGCACCCCTGTCTCCATATGGGACATCCCATTCCCTTTATTTCCTTCGGCAAACTGGGATTGGCAGTCTGGGGTGCTTTACATGTTCAGACTTCATTTTGGCTATGTTCAGAGGAGGAGAGGAGTTTCTTGGAATACCAGGATGTGAACCTGCTCGTTTTCACCCTCTGGTGCTCCCGCTGCCTGAGGACGGTGGTACCCCTGGATTGCTCCCACCTCAGGCAGGCTGTGGAGCCTCAGCAATCTCCATCCTTGGTGCCAGTGGTTGTGCTGCTTTGAAGTGTCAGGGAGGCTTTGCCACAGCCTGGAAAGCACAAAGCCAGCCTGAATCTGCCTGATGGGAGAGCGTTTGGGGGTGTCCAGGTGAGCGGCCTGGACTTGTTGATCCCAATGGAGCCTTTGGTGTGAGAGGAGAGGAGGGCACTGGGCTGTGCTGGCTCTGCCTTCCACAGTCTGACCCCCACAGCCTCATCACAACCTCTTTCCCCACATGCTCCATGTGCCAGCTCTGTTATGTCACTCCCAATCCCAAAGGATCCTGGGCTGTATCTTTTATATTCTGGTGGGTTTTGCCCAACATTTCTATGTGCTGTGGGGTCCCAGAGCTCGTTACTGTTGTAGGATAGATAAGGCAATGCGTAAGGGATCATCTGATTTTGTGACATGAAGTTGCTGAGGAGTCCCTGGGTCCCAGAGCAGGATCATTTCCACAGAGGAAGCCCTGCATGGGCTGGAATTTGACAGCTTTCAGTGATTATATGCCAGGCTGAACGTTTTTCCTCTAAATTATAGATTCACGTGCTGATGAGAACTCAGCAGGACCTATGGGAACGTGTCTCTTGCTTTCTGGTCCCTGGTATGGGCAGCAGCTGGGAATCTTCTGTTTTCCTGTAAAATGGATCCAGAGGTGCCCTTGGAAGGTTTTTTCTTTGTTTCCAGCCTGCTTATAGGCTAGGCTAGCATGCTCTGCTTCTTGGGAAAGCCTGCACCTCGGACCAGGGCTTGTGCTGATGAGAGCTCGGCCACCTTCAGCCTTTCCTGGGGGAGGTTCAGCCTTTCCTGGGGGAGATTCAGCCTTTCCTGGGGGAGATTCAGCCTGTCCTTTGGGGGAGATTCAGCCTGTCCTTTGGGGGAGGTTCAGCCTGTCCTTTGGGAGAGGGTTCAGCCTTTCCTTTGGGAGAGGGTTCAGCCT